GTTTTTTATGGAAGTAAATGTATGCTGTTTAAAAACCTCGGGATTGCTGAACAAGAAAACGACACATTCATATTCCAATGCCGAGGTTAAGAGAAAGTCGATCCTGGGAACTATACAAATGAGAATGTTGAAAAGAGGGAAAGCTACTGAGGCCAAGCTTTACCATTGCATTTATGTCGAAAGTGGAAGTATCGTTAACCGATGTTCGGCCATTATTCTACTATTGCTATATAGATTATTGATATATAGATGATGGCCTTATCATTTGCTCTACACAAGAGGAAATAGACAAATGTTTTGAGCTATTGAATGAACACTCAGAGTAGAATCTGTTTACTCGACAGCAGCCAAAAGAAACCTGACTTCCATTTCTAGACGTTCAATCTAGCCTATCTGAAAACGGCTACATTACCAAAGGGTGCCGAAAGCGAATTATCAAAAACATAGTGGTTCATTATCACTCTTCTCATCCTTTACACACTAAAAGGTCGCTTGAAAAAAATATGTTTCGAACGGTCACCAACGTTTTCACATTAAGAGTGCAGAATGAAGAATTCCTGAAAATAACGTAGCAAATAGCCATTTTAAATGGCTACTTAACGGGTAGCTCCTCGGGAAAAGTCTCGAAAAAACCCAAGCCACTAAATGGTAATTCTGAAGATCATAGGTCCTATTTATGTTGGCCTTCATTTCCAATGATATTAAACGTTGCTTAAGAAGTGCCAGTCTAGAGAATTGGGTAGCAGCAAATCGAAACCTTCAGCGCACAAAACCGTCGTGGCAATCTGGATGGACTCCAGGAATCCGAAAATGAAGCGCTGGGAGGGATGCCTCGCAATCACGCGTGATCACATACTGCATTTAACACTGATATTTTAATGTTTTAACGTTTTGTTTTCTGCCTTCTATAATTTTCATGGCAGGTTACTAAGTAAGCGAAATACAACCACAACGTTGCTGAGATATTTGCAAAACTCTGGACCGCAGGTGTCTATGGTGGGGAACGAACGCGCTATTGTCCTTTCCGGGGAGTAACGCGTTCACCACCACACCATGCGGGTCCTTTGTTTCGCACGTCTCTCAGCTATTTCCATCGATCTTTTTGCCACAGCAATCACCCGTCAGCGGG